CTTCTCATTCCTCATCCTTCTTGATCCCTCTATAGCCTTTGACATTGTCAGTGACTCCTTTCCTCTTGATACTGTCTTCTCTCTAGTTTTTTGTGACACAGTTCTCTCCTGGTTCTCCTACCTGTCTGACCACTCCTTCTCTCTCTTTACTAGATCTAAGTCATGCCTATGAACTATGGGTGTCCCCGCCAAGGCTCTGTTCCTCTTTCACTCTTCTCCCCTGGTAATATTATTAGCTCCTGAGGGATTCATTTATCTTTATGCAGATAATTCTCAGATCGGTTTATCCAGTTCTTTCCTCATTTCCAGTTGTCTCTTGTGTATTTCTAATTGTATGTCCTGTAGACATTTTAAACATAACATATCCAAAATTCATTTCATCATCTATCCCCCTAAGCTTTCACCTTTTCCTACCTTCCCTGTTACTATTAATGACACCACCATTCTCCCAGACACCTAGGCTCACAACCTAGTTGTCATCTTTGACTCCTCACTATCTCTCACCTCTATATCGAATGAGCTTCCAAGTCTTATTTTTCCTTTGTACCCCCTTCTTTCCTCTGGTACTGCTACCATACTGGCGCAAGTCCTCATCTCACCCCTTGACTATTGCATTAGTCTACTGGTTAGTGTTCCTGCTTCATGTCTCTCCTCACTCCAGTCCTTTAGTCAGCTAACGGATTGATTTTTTTCTGAAGTGCAGATCTGATCATGTTACCCCATCCTGCCCCAACAGTGCTCCCTCCCCCCCCAATAAATTCCAATGCCTTCCTGTCACTTCCAGGATCAAATAAAAATTCCTGTTTGGCTCTGAAAATAATTTATAACCTAGTCCCTTTCTAATTTTCCATTCTTCTTAAACCTTAGTCTCCTTTATATACTCGATGAGCCAGCGACACTGGCCTCCTTGCTCTTCCTTTAACTATTTCCTGACCATGCATTTTCGCCGGCTATCTCCTATTCCTGGAATGCTCTCCCTCCTCTTTTCCACCTCCTGCCATCCATGGCTTCCTTCAAATCCCAGCTAAAAACTTACCTTCTACCAGAAGCCTTTTCTGATCCCCCTTTATGCTAGTGCCTTCCCTATGTTAATTATCTCTAATTGATCCTTGAAGTAGGAACTTTTTTTACTTTTTTTTTTTGGCCATTCTTTGCATGCCCAGCCCATAGCACAATGCCTGGCACTAAGTAAGCACTAAATGAATGCATGTGGACTGACTGACTGTTCTTTGACAGGTTATTCTGCATTCCACATCTCTGAGCCTCCACCTCTACAAAGAATGGAAAGTGTTGCATTTTCTCCTTGCTTATGGTTACAAAGCATTCAAAGGGCAGCTAGGTGCATTGTTAGATAGAACACTGGCCCTGGAGTCAGGAGGACGGACCTGAGTTCAAATGTGGCCTCAGACACATGATACTCAATATCTGTGTGACCCTGGGCAAGTCACTTAACCCTGATTGCTTCACCAAAAAAAAAAGCGTTCAAGTTCCTTATTCGTTTCATTTACATTGGGTTTTTTTAGGCATTTGGGGTTAAATAACTTGCCCAGGGTCACGCAGCTGTTCATTAACATTGTTATAAACATTCGGGTAAATTGTTTTCAAGGTTCTGCTTATTTCACACATTTTCATATATTCTCCATATTTACAATTTGTTATGGTCCAGTAATATTCAGTTACATTTATGTACCATGTTTGGTTCAGCCATTCTGTAATGAGTAGTCACCCTATTTCCAGCTCTTTGCTAGCACAATAAGTGCTATTATGAATGTTTTGATATAGAGACATATACCATATACAGGATTCACAAGAGATCTTTCTGTCTGCCCTTGACCCCCTTGGAACAGGATGCAGCATGAAGTGGTGAATGGAGTACTTAATTGTATGTAGTAGGAAGACTTGGGCTCAAGTATTATATCAAGCAAACTAGCAGACCTTGGGCAAATCAGCTTTTCCTCTGATTCTCATTTTCCTCGTCTGTAATATAACTATGGAGACAAAACATCTATCTCACAGACTTGTGAGGATCAAAATAAGATAATATATGTAAAGCACTTTGTAAACATTAAGGCACTATATAAATATTAGCTATTATTTTTTATGTTGCATACGCCTAACAGTGGGATCTCTTGGTCAGAGTATGAATATTTTAGTTACTTTTTTTGTAATTCCAAATTGTTCTCGAATGGTTAAACCAGTTTACAGCTCTACCAACAGTGCATTAATATTCCTATCTTCCTGTAGCCCAGCTGCCCGCCATACTCCCCCTTTAGTGTTGATTGTATTTGATTTTAATCACCTTTGCCAATTTGCCATGACTGTTAATTCTTAAAGATACTGTTTTATGTTTCTTCTCCTTTTAGCTGACATACATCTCTAAAGTAGCCTGCATTAACTAAACCTTTGCAGTTTAACTTGCCCTCGTCATACTGTTGAAATTGTTTCCTTGAAGGTCAAGACTTCCTAATTGTCAATTCCAGTGGTTTCCTCATGTCCTCATTTTTCTTTAATTATCTTTAGCATTTGACATTTGTCATTCACCCCATTCTTTATGTGTGCATTTAATTACTTAATTTTTTTTCAGTTCCAAATTCTCTCCCTTCCCCACCCATTGAGAAGGCAAAAAGTGTGATATCCCTTATAAATATGAAGTTGTAAAAACTCTTTCCACATTATTGTCACCCTGTTCTTACTGAAATTTTACTCTCTCAGCTTCCATGGTACTGTAGTATGCCTATTCTTTGCCTCTTGGTGTGTCTTCTGTAGCCTTTGCCGACTCTATTTCACTTGTCTTTTGATATGAGCATTTCCTAACGTTGTAACTTAAATTCTCTTCTCTCTCTCTCCCTCTCTCTCCTCTCTCTGCCTCCCTCCCTCCCCTATCACCTCCCCCACTTCCCTTTTAATGATAACATACATTCTTAGAGCTACCACTGTTACCCATATTCAGATGAACTTATCTTCTCCAAGTCATTATCTGTCCCAGCCTCTAAGTTCTAGTCTTGCATTTTCAACAGGACAGCTGAATTTGACTTTCCCACCAGCATTTCCAATTCAACAGATCCAAAACCACAGTCATATTTCTCCTTTCTTCATGTTCATCCCAAATCAGCTCCTCCTTATATCGATTTTTGTCAGTGATACCAGATATCCAATCTTAAACCTTAAATTTGTCTTTGACTTTTCCCCTTACTTCGTCCTCAATTAATTCAAAGACCAAGTCCCATAATTTTATCTTCGAGTTCTCCTTTACCTTTGTCCCTTTCTTATTATTCCTAAAGGCATCACTGTGATAGCCTTTTGAAAAAAAATTAGTTTTCCATTCAGTCAGCCAGCAAGCATTTAAAAAATGATATAAAAATATAAAATAATATAATAGGCATTTTAAAGTGCCTATTATATTTCAGGCTGGATGTAAGGCATTAAGGATATAAAGACAAAAATCAAAACAGTCCCTGCCCTAACAGAGCTTTACTTACATTCTTGTTGAGATATGTATAATATGTATGTATGTAAGTATACACAAGGTATTGGGGGTCAGAGGGAGGCTTCATGCAGAAGGTGGCACTTAAACTGAGCCTAAAAGGGAGGGAAGGCCCGGAGGCCAGAAATAGAGTACTGTGGATGATGAACAGTCAAGAAGGCCCTCCTCTAAAGTGAAGTCTGTATTCCATATTCTAACTGCAACCTGCTTTTCCAGCTTTATCCCACACTACCCCCTGCTCAGGATAGAGTATATGCTTTTCACAACCGATCAGTCAGTAATTTTCAAACATATGTTCTGTGCCTTTGTTAATGTCATTCCTTTCTCTCATCCCTGCCTATAAAATCTTCGTTCTTCAAAGCCCAACTAAATACCAAATCCTCCCTGAAACCTGATCTAACGTCGTCCCACCAGCTGGAAGTAATCTCACCCTCCTCTAAAATTCTGGAGTACTGTACTTTGTATCTCTTAATAGCATTTGTTTTATCTTTCCTGTACTGTAAATATTATACTTACCCCCTCTACTGGATTGTAGGCCCATTGAGAACAGGGAGAATATATTCTTGGTTGTTGCATTTCCGCTGTGCCTTGGCACACAGAAAGCATTTAGTAAATTAAGTCTTTGAATCTCAGATCTTAACCTTATCTTTCAGAAATTTTTGAGATCTTTATTGAAAACTAAGCTCTCTCTCTATATATGTATATCTGACTATGCTTGGTTTTCTCTTCCTCCAGCAGTTAGGGACGTGATCATTTTTTCCCAAGTTTCCTTAAATTATAATTTTTATTTATTTATTTTAGGCAACTGGGTTAAGTGACTTGCCCAGGGTCACACCGCTAGTAAGTGTCAAGTGTTTGGTCTGAGGCCGGAGTTGAACACAGGTCCTCCTGACTTCAGGGCAGGTGCTCTATCCATTGTGCCACCTAGCTGCCCCCTTAAATTATATTTTGTCCAGCAGTTTTATTTAGAATTGTTGTCAATTAGAATTAAGTCCAAGATAGCATTTCTTCTCATTTCCTCTTTTTGGTTTGTCTTACTGATAATTTGGTGTCTCAGAATTTGTAATGTGATCTTTTTTTTACCAGAATGAGACATAGCAAATGTTCAGATAGTGTTATTCCCTTAACACTATCATAGCTTTTATTTATATTGTTTCTATAATCAGTTTCCAGAAAGTATCATCTATTTCTTCTTCATAGCTCAATACTCTGAAGTATATTGGCAAAAAGCTAACTTGTTTCTATTAAATACTTTATGACGTGATCCTCCCTCAGGTTTGTGGACTTCCAAATAAGAGAATACCTTCTTGATAAATAGTATTATTCTACTCCTCCTCCTTCTGTTTTCTTTTGAACAGGGTAGACATTTCTGACCATTTTCAAGTAATGATAGTTATTCTATCAGGTTTAGTTGGCACTTTTTGACTTATGTGATATTAACAGTTCTGAAAGTTCTACTCATATTTAATACCTTGTATATTTATGTTCAGTGATAAATATTTGCATTTTCTTTTAGGCTGTGAGGATATTATTGCCGAGAGCATCTCATTAGATACCTTAATTGCTATCCTCAAGTGGAGTTCTCATCCGTATGGCTCCAAGTGGGTGCACAGACAAGCTTTACATTTCCTCTGTGAGGAATTTACTCAAGTCATGATTTCGGATGTTTTTTATGAACTCAGCAAAGATCATCTTCTTATTGCTATCCAGTCTGACTACTTACAGGTAATTAATTATTCTCACATCATTATAACGTTCCCTTTAGAAACTGTCTTTGAAGAGGAGATAAAGGAGGCTAAAAAGGTAAAATGCTTTGCCATTCTAGATTACAGTCCTGGTGTCCAAATATCCCATCCAATGTTTTTTGCACTACAAGCTATCATTAACTAACAAAAAGATACCCTCAGCAGATTCATACAAAGGAGGAGAGTGTTCTTTCAGTTGTTCAGGTGTAGCCTTGTGCACAGGCATGTGTCTGATCAATGTAACCCTAAAAGGAGTTGTGGCATGTGTGTGTTTAGAAAACACTAGATTATTGGTTCCCATACTTACATGATTATAATACATCAGTTTCCTATTTTTAGAATAGTGTAGGAAATTTCTTTGTAGGGGCATAAGTCACCAGGACTAAGACAAAAGGAAGATTTAGGCTTAATATGTGGTTATTATTGATTTAGAATAAATAGAGGTGACTAAATCAATTAATGACAAAAATTCCAAATTCATTCTAGTTTGCTAAAATACAAAATTTTCTGTTTGCCTTACCTTACCTTAATAATACTTTTAAGTTTGTCTTAGTGATTAAGTAGATATGCAGGGAGAGTTTTTCCTTGGATCCCATCCCATATTGGCAGTACATACAGGCCATTTTACTGTGTGAGTGTTGCTAACTAGTTTTATTAATTTTACTAAAATTTTATATTGAACCATCTGATTTTTGATTTGCACTTGGTCCATAAAATTGCCTTATCTTATTCAGTGGTCTTGAATCTCTTTTTTTAATGCAAATATTACCTCTCATATAAAGCAAATCCTTTCTTATTTGTGCCCTATATCTGCTTATTGAAAATTCTATTCAGCAATTTCGTGATCCATTGATATTTTGTATAAAATATACAGGTATATGAGAAGTAAGAATAGTTCAGTTGTTTCAGTGATTGGTTTTGGAATGAGTTGCTTTTTCTAGAAAGTACAACAATTAGGTTGAAAATTAGGTTGAAAGTACAAAAAACAGGTTGAACTTTTATAGCATACAAAGTTGGTACATTCCTTTAAACACCCAGTGCATGAAGGGCCTTTTGCCAGTTATCAGATTAGCGTACCTTTTTTGGAATGCAGCCTCTGCTACTCAGGATGAAAAAAGTAAAATCACCAATAACAGTTAAATGACTGGCTATGAGAACCTTTTTTCTTATAATCTCTCTATATATGACCTTATCTTTCTGGAATTGATTCTTATTGTCTCAAAACAATTGTTGTACCTTAGTTCTAATATTGACTTTCTATTTGTTCATTTCCTTTTGTCTGTGATGGTATAGTATGTCATAAAATGATGGAATGTATATTTCTTAAGAAAATTCGCTTGGATAAAAATACTATATATATTTGCATTGTAGGCAAGTGAACAAGATATCCTTAAATACCTTATTAAATGGGGTGAACATCAGTTGATGAAAAGAATAGCAGACAGAGGTAAGAGGGTTTTTGTTTTTGTTTTTAAGAAAATATGCTCACAAAGTACTTTTTATTGTTCTATTCAGAAGTATACTTACATGTAATACTACATATCACCCTTCAGTATAGGCACTAATATATTTGTCCAGCACAAAGAATTTGTGAGAAAATATAGGAATTTCTTTTATTTTCAGTGAAGGGAAGAGAAGTAAGCTATATTTAGTAATTTCCAAGTTTATTTTATATATTCTATATATCCTGTAGGTCCTTTAGTAAATATTGATTTGCTTGTTCAAATGGACTGTGAGAGTGTCCTAGAGTGATGTGAAAGTATACAATGATGTATAGGCATCATTTTCTAAATATTTGAAAATAAGTCTCATGTCTATTAATTCACCTTTCAGTCAAGTAGCATCCTACAGGTGTTTGACCTGAGTCTTATGGCAGCAAGAAATTTTAAAAATCAGAGATTAGAAGACAGAACATTCCAGACACAGAAAACATCCAATGCAAGACACGGAGATGGAGTAAATGTGGCACCAGGTGGTGGAGGGAGTGACTTGGTCAGGCCACATTAGAAAATTCACCCTGGAAGCTGTATGGAGGATGGATTAGAGTGGAGAGACCCTTGAGGACTTTTAATCCAAACAAGGGATGATAAGCATCTAGGGACCAAAACTAGGGTGGTTATTGTATTAGGTGAAAGAAAGGCAGGGTATATTGGAACCAGCTCCTACTGGTTCTGAAGATGCTAATTGTTAATTTTTGTATAAGCATTTACACAGGAAAATTGGCAAAAACTACAAGTGACGGTACAACTCATTGTTTTATCGTCTTAAGAAAGTGATGAAGAAAATATTAATAGTGCAGTTTAAACTTAAGGGTGTATTTATGCATACATTCCCCCCCCCCCAACTAGTTGTTAAACATTTTACTAGCATACCCCTGAAGTACTGAGATATAATGTAGAGGAAGTACAAGATTTGGCAACTGATTGGATGTATGGAGTGATCAAGAGAAAAAAGTCATAAATTACACCACAGTCGATGACTAGAAGGGTGATGAGGGCAGCTAGGTGGCACAATGCGTAAAGCACTGGGCTTGGAATCAGGAAGACTCAACTTCCTAAGATCAGATCTGGCCTCAGACACTTACTAGCTCTGTGACCCTAGGCAGGGTACTTGACCCTGTTTGCCTCAGCTTCCTCATCTGTAAAGTGAGGTAGAGAAGGAAGTGGAACCACTCCAGTATCTTTGCCAAGAAAAACCCCAAATGAGCTCACAGGGAGTTGGACATGAGTAAAACAACTTAACAACAATGAAAAGGGATGGTGGTATCTCTAATAGGAAGTTGGGAAGAGGAGGTTGAGGACAGGGCATAATCTGTTGTGGACGTGTTGAGTTTGAGATATATCAAGATATCCATTTCAAGATGGCTAAAAGGCAGTTGGTGATTTGGGTGATTTGGGAGTAAACCTAAGGAAAGAAACTCAGGCTAGATATAAAGATCTGTGAATCACCTGCAGAGAGATTATTAAACCCATTGAAACTCATGAGATCATCAAAGGGGAGAAAGTATAGAGAGAAAAGAGAAGAGAACCCAGGATATTACCACGGGTCATTTGTACAATTTGTGGGGGGATAATGTTGGAATAATATGAGATGAGAGAAGACCAAGCTCTTGATAGGTAGCCTTAATTTTTCCAGTGAAGTATGCACTAAGTTCCTCAGTAGACAGATGATTAGTGTCATGGAAGGCTCAGGGAGAGGAATAAAGGTTTGGAAGAACTGTTGTGTTGAGTGGGATTGTAGAGTCAGTCACATGGCCAGCAGGATGGGAGTACTAGACAGATCAGCTGGTCAGACTTCTCCAAAGAGATAACAACCTGATAAATTAGCAGAAAAAGCAAATCACTTAGCACCCCCTCCCACACTACTTACCATGCTCTGTCTAGCAGGGCTGCACAAGCCGACACGTGTTTTCAAAAGAAGTCAACTCTGCCTCTGTCCCCAGAGCATGAGAAAGCAGACGCTTCTCCTGGCTAGGAGAGCAGTGTGGCAGTGTTCGGTGCTACAACAGAGAGAGACGTAGGACAGGATATATGTGGAGGAAAGGGGGGAACTGTGTGGCACTCCACCATGTCTGAGGAAGAGAGGCCACCATCTAGTTGGGACCAGTTTTGTTGTCCCCCGTTCCTTTCCCCTCCCCATCCTCCAAAGTCAATTGCAACAGAGGCTGAGGCCAGTGAAATATGAATTGCCCAATGTGAAAACAGGATGAGTTATCCTCTAGGGGAAACCTGTATCAAAGGAGAGAAAGTCTGAAAGTGAGCAATAGAGTATATAAATATAAGATGGAAAAACCTTAAATTACCAAAAATCTCAAGAGGAGGAAAATGCAGTCAAAGATCTTGAACATATACAGATAAAATTTTCTAACAGTCCTCTGGTATAAGGGAGTTCCTCTTGGAAGGATGTAGGGTTCTCCTGTTGACCTTTGCTTTCTACAGCTGGGCTTACAGTGTCATTCCCCCAGTGTAGGTGTACCTGTCAGTAGCTTAAGTCCTTGTCCAGGTATCCAGTTTATTTATGCCTAATGAGAATCCTGTGGACCAGCCAGGGACATTGGGTTAAACAACTCCTTAATGAGTTCGGATGCAGAGAATTACATGTGAAACAATGGGAATCACTTCAGTACAAAGCTTTATTGCAAACACCAGAGATGAGGTAAAAGGGAGCCCAATATACAATTCAGACATAACACACTAACATAGCGTATAACTCACATGAAGGCAGTACTGCCTTGAGGAACATAAAGACATGGGTTCGTTCAACAGAAAGGAGGTGCTCCACCAGGAAGTTACGCCCCCACTGGAGGGGGAGGTGGGTATGCTCTAAGGTGCACTTCGGAGAGTGGCAAACCATCAGGCCTCATCTTATGACAATTATTTCCATGCAGACATTCTGTAATTACAACCTCCCTTAAGGAGAGACTGTCATGGTGGTCTCAAGACCATCAGATTCAATCTTATAATGTAAACCAAAAGGGAATGTGGCCTTCAAATCAGGTCTGAGTCCATGCATTTATGAATAAATATATCAGGGCAAAGGAAAATGAATCAACACCTGATGAGACATAGAACCCTGTGTATTCCCAACAGAGTATGGAACCACAATAGGGTATTCCAGAATGGTTTTAAAAAAAATAAAAATTATGAAAGCAGAATTTTATGAGCTGCACAGCAGAAAAAATTGACAGAATAGAAAAATTTGAGACCAAGGTAGCAAACCTCACCACAGAAACAAAAGAGATAGCTGTTTGGAAATGCAAATACACAGAAGTAAAAGACAGTCTGGAAGAAGTAAAGCAAAAGGCAATATTGTTCAAAGAAAACATCATCTTCATACAAACAAAACATATTAATCTCCAACACAGGTTGTGTTTAGAGATAATTTAAGTATTATAGCTCTTTCAGAAGAACATATTTAAGTAAAAGAAAAAAAACCTCAACTCCATAATGCAAGAAATAATACAAGACAATCTCCCAGAATTTTTGAATACAGAAAATAAAGTGCCAAATGAAAGAATTCACAGATTGCATCAAAAAAAAATTCCTATGCTGCAAACTCCAAGACCGAAAATGGTTAACACTTCCACTGATAATAAATTCAGCAAGCAAGGAAGAGAAAGATCTTCAGACCTAAAGGAAAGGAAATTCAAATAACACAAAATTATTCTTCATTCACCAGAAACTGCAGGATGGAATGAAATAATATGTCCTGAAGAGCAAAGGACCTCAAGATGTAACCCAGGATGCCCTAAGGATTAATGTTAAAAGATTTTTAAATTTTTTTAAACCATTTAAAGCATTCCTAGAAAGCAAACCAGACCTGAACAGATTATTTGGTTTGCAAATATCCCAGAAGATAGAAATATAAAAAAGATAAACAAATCCAATAACTAAAGACAACAAGAAGGTAACAGCAGAGATACCATTAAGATAGTTCTGTCTAAAAGTCAAATACAAGTGATAGTGTAGAAACAGGTCTGAAATGTGATGGGCTAATCCTCAAAACACCCTCACCTACAGGTGAACCAGTGTTTCTGAGGGCCTAAATTACAGAATAAGAGGGCATATGAAAGTGAGGAGGAGAAAAAGAAGATAGAGGGGAATTTATCACGAACCATAATCAAGTCAAAGGTTAATAACAACAGAAAATAACTCCTGCAGTCTCTTAGGAAGAAGAGAGTCTATAGGATAATGGGTGAGGAGGGAAAGGGAGGGATTGAAACAGAAAGAAATAATGAAATCTTGCTTCAGTAGTGAGAGGACATACCGCTGATAAATTCTCATAGAGAGATGTTCTAAGGCAGCTAGGTGGCGCAGTGATAGAGCACCAGCCCTGAAGTCAGGAAGACCTGAGTTCAAATCCAGCTCAGACCAAACACTTGACTCTTACTAGCCTGTGTGACCCTGGGCAAGTCACTTAACGCCAACTGCCTTAAAAAAAAAGAGAGAGAGAGAGAGATTCTATAAACAGATAATGGTTATTGTATAATGGTTATGATCTGCTGGGATTTGGTCCTTAAGCCATTCATAACTGCCTCAGGAAAAAAGGAATTAGAGCTCCTGGGGCATCTGACATGCAGAAGAGGGAAAAGCATGTACCTAAGCATAGAGGCGGGAAATTACTATAGGGAGGGCAAAGGTTAATAATAAAATGAATTGTACAATCAGGGACATAGGAAAAACTCCTGCCATGAGGCAATATTCTCTCTGTCACCTGCAGGAATTGGTATCTCTTAGAGTGAGGCACAACAGAAAAAGAGAACAAGCGGGTAAAGGGAAGGATTACAAGGCAATAACATAGAAAGAAACTATTAGAAGAAGAAACCCAAAATAGATACCTCAGAAGCTTTAATTCCATGAGTAATAGAGACTGAAGAAGGGCTAAGATAAGTATAAAGGCCATAAATCAAAGATTAAAAGTATAGACTAAAAGGGAAGCTCAATAATA